TGTCTGTTGCCAAGTATTTGTGACTTTTGTGCATAGTCATTACCAGAGGATCATTTCGTATAAGTTTAGAGTCTAACAGATTATAGTAAATGGCAAGAATATGGTATTATTACATTTACGAAAAGGATTTGGAATTGTTAAATGAGCATCGTTGAATTGTTGTCAATTGATCTATTTCACAAAGAAAGAACCATAAGCAAACATAGTGTGCATACTTGGAGCATGGGACAACTATTGTTTTTATTCGAGTATTAAGTTGATTATTCAAAACATTATACAATGAATAATGAGTAATCAATATGGTGATTAAATAAAAGGCGTTTTATTTACACTCAAAAATTTTGGGGCCATATAGGATTAATATTATTCTTGTGTTTCAATTTTCAGGTTTTGACTTCCCGAATAACTAGGTTATTCAAATCGTCCACAGTTGATCATACTTTGGAAGTAGGTATTGAGGCAAGATTGTCCTGAATGGGTCTATAGGTTGTCTAAAGGTGTTTAGACATAACACAAGTTTGCTTGCAATGTTCATGTGTACTCCTAGAATAAGATTCGAGTATTGGATTAAACCCACGCTCATTTGAATCACTTAATGGATTTTATCACGAGTGATCATGAGACGTTAATATCTTATATTCTTGTAACCAAGACATGTGAGTTGTAGTTTACAAGTCAGTTGCACATTGACATATGTAAATGCACCAGTAACTTGGTGTTATAAAACATATCATTATGTGTGATTTGATGTGTAAATAAAAGCAAGCATTTGAGTCGAAGTTTATCCATTCCTTTTACCCTTAAAGGGATAAAAGCGATATGTGTGGGCCCCTCGATGATTTAGTGATGACCACCCTAAGCGCTCGGCCGAGCCTGGACTGATTTGGTTTATTCAATTAGTCAGTCGTCACAAATCGTAAATCGGGAAACAACATATGGACATAGAGAATGATTATAATCCATGTCTCATGTCCATATGATATCCAGAATGTAGGAATATATGACCCTTTATCTAATGGACGCGTCATTGGCTAGGTCAGAGTTCCACAGTGGCTTTTAAGAGCTACGATTGCTAATCGGGATTTTGGAGTCGTACTTGAAATAATAGTTATTAGACTTATCTAAGTGGGAGACTATTGAATTAGATGTCTAAGCCCATAACTATAATTGGTATGTACTTGACTCGAGAGTAGCATTGTCCATTTAGGTTGCATATCATCTGGACAATTTGTTAGGATTGACTTTTGAGAAGAGGTTATTTATGATTTATTAAGATATTATAAGTTCTAATATATTAATATGCAATCATATGATTTAATTAGTGTTGATCAAGAATTAGTTTGGAATTAATTTAGTGATCAAAAGAGACTAATTAAATTTATGGGGACTAATTATGGTAATTAGTGAAACATATGGATTGGGCTAATGATCCATGTTAGACTAAGTTTATGTAAGGATACATAAAGAGTTGGGAAACATGAACCATGGATCATAAACCCATGGGTATGGATTAGGGTTAACCCATGACCTTCGGAATCCTATATATAAATATGTTGCTCCATGACCAAAATCGTTTGCATCGATTCTTAGAGAACTATGAGCCAATTTTGTGTGAAACGAATACACTGTCAAATGTCATCCTTTGTTTTAGATGTGTTGTGATTCCATTTGAGGCATTCATACTATTGGTGCTAAGTACTTAAAGGCCAAATACAACAAGTTCTGCAAGCTACATAAAGAGGTAAACTCCTAACTAGTATTTTATATTGTTTTATGTCAATTGCATGCTAGTTGTAGGCTTAAGGCTTTGGAACTAATATTTCATGTATAATTAGAGAAAACATAGCTCAAAGGCATTTAGGGTTGTATGTGCACCATAGGATGTTGTAGTATATAAAATCCAACAATATATTAAATTTAGAAATCATATTATTTAATTAGTATTGATCAAGAATTAATTTAGTGATCAAAAGATATCGATTAAATATACTAGGACTGATTAAGTAAATTAATAATTCTTATAATGTGGGCCAATGATTTGTGGTTGATTAGGATGGGCTAAACCAATATGATAATCCATGAAGGTTTAACCCACGAAGCCTCAGAAATATGAAGGGTCATGGTGCATTAGGGTTTGCATGATGAAACCCTAGCCTTTGTTACACTATAAAAGCAACCTTGTAGCCCCAAAATGCATTGCCTAACTCATTCTAAGAGAGTGATAACCAATTTTGAGCTAACTAGCCTACTCTCTCAAGCCTTATTTTGCATTTGGTGTTTGTGACACATTAGAGGCATCACACTTGAGGTGCTAAAGCTTTCTAAGGCCCAGAACTACTAACTATATCAAGAGGTATTCATCTAACTTGGTTTTTATGTTGTATATCCTCTATTGTATGCTAGTTAGGATGTATGCTTTAGAAATATGAAATTGCATGTATAATTAGAGAAAACTTAGATTCAAAGCATCTAGGATTGCATGTGCACCATAGGAGTGTTATTGTGCTTAAAACCAACACTAACACTTCCAATCATGCCAAGGAATTGGCAAATAGTCTTACAAACCCGTTACTCTGTCAAGAAACCATGATCAAGAAAGAGGATACCACCAAAGTTTAATATAACAAAAGAAAATATGAAGGCAATTCCATAAGAACCTCCACTACAAGAAAAAGAGCCTTTTACGACGCGCAAACAACGACACTCATTGATTTATGTTACGCAAAAGAGAGTGACATTAAGAAAGTGTCATCTCTCTAAAAAATTTAAGGATTTAAGACACGCATTTTTGCGTGCACTAAAATTCATGTCCAAAAAAAACACGGTGGGCACCTATATTAAAATGTGTGTCGTCTAAGGATGTCATTTTATAATTTTTTAGTGAAAGGCGCGTTTTCCGTCATTTAATAGCTAAGCGGGAAATAAAAACCCAAAAGTTAAAAATCCCGCTTGTTCTCCTCTCCCTTTTTTCCACCGGTGAACCCAAAAATTAAACCCCCTTGATACGCATCCTCACCCTCTCTAAATCTTCACTCTCTGTAAAAACCCCTTCTACCATCGATGATCGAATTGCACTCCCGAAAATTACAGAATGAAATCCCAAAAGAATTATAAAAAATCTCGCTACTAAGAAAAATCCCAAACAACCGGTGGTATTTTCCCTAAAATTCATGGATTCCCTCATGCGATTTTAGCGATTTTCGTTCCCCCCCCCCCCCCCTTTTTTTTTATTTTGCATCGACCACTTCTTAGGCGGTCTTGGCCTTCATTTTTGTTGTATCTAGTTTCCCTTATTCTCCTCCACCTCTATTTCCATCTTTTATCTTCAAGTTCTTCTCATCAATGATTCAGCTGATTCATATGATTCCAGATCAAGGAGGAGGAAAAAGAGCTATCGTTCAAGTTCTAGGAGTAGAAGCATGAAATCAATATCAGTATGTGAGATCGAGTAAGATGAATCTACTGATAAAAAGAATACCCACCAAAAAAACTCATAAACCCTCGTTATCAGCATCCTTCGTCTAGGGTTTTATTCATCAACGCTCCCGCCAAAGGTACTCTCGTGTCTTATTAACCTAGTACATGTATACGTTTCTTGACAAATTTCTTGGATTTTCTACTTTGGTTAACCTAGAAATTGACAATACTTCAAGAATTGTGGAGACATGGTTTCTACTGTTTGTTCCTGGACTTGAAGTTCTATATATATCGACGAGTTATTTAAGCCATTATAGGGAACTTACGGATTCTGTCATGCAGATCCCGCTGATGCAGATAAATTCATTTGGAGGGTAATCATACGCATTCAAGCATTGAAAAGGTATCTTCACTTTCACTTTCACATCTAGTGTTTAGGCCTTTTCCATTCCATTCCATGAGTTTTTCTATTAAGTCGATTCTTATTTAAGTAACAAAAGGAACAACTCATTTTGTTATGTTGAAAAGAAACAACACCATAGTTGTGAGAGCTTTTGATGCTAGTTTGATTGATGATGGGGTTGCTTGCATATTGACTATCAACATGTACCTGCTTTGGTTCTTGACTGTGAGCCAACCATTGACTTTAACAAGGATATCAAAGCTAAACAGCAGTATGATTTGTTCCATTTCACATGCTTTTTTGTTTGTTTTTTATGGGATTTGACGCCTGTTTTCATGAGGAGTTTGCAAGTAATAATATTACATTAACTCTAGTTTTTTATGTTCCTTAAAGGGTCCTAAATAAATCTCTTTGACAAACAATAAAAGCAAATGTCCTCAATTAATGGTTGAATGCAAGAAATAGTCATGTATTTTATTGTAGTATCCTACCACAAGGGAAAAACTTCCCTGGGTCACTCAAGTCATTGGATTTTAGACGAGCCATGTCTCTCATGCCTAGATCTGGATCTGGATCGGGGTAGCCGTGTTGTTTGTTGCTCAAATCTATATTTTCTTGTAAAAATAAACTCTTAACCTTTTCCTTAAGCCTTTTTTGTAGGATGAAACAAATTTAGGACAGATGATTGTAGTTTCTGTTTAATTTTTGATGTAAGGCTTTTACTTTCCAACTTTAAATGTTATGTTTTGTAGCTTAAGCCTTTATTGTAGGATGAAACAAATTTATCTAACGTTTTTTTTTAGCTAGTTCTTGTTTTGTGTGTGTTTTGTAGCTTACAAAGCCATATTATGCATTTTTGGAGGTTCTATTCAACAGCCATATTGTTTACATGTTGAACCTTGATACAAACACTTTCATGCATATAGTTGGCTCACTAGAATCCGGATTAAAAGGCCTTGCCCAACAAATCAACAATCATTTGTTTCAGATGTTCTTGACCCATGATATTAATATAAAAACCCAAGTCCAACCAGTTTTCTTAAAATGTCGAAAAGATCACAAGACAAGTATCTTTTTAACACATGATTATATAATAATAATAACATCAGCAAGACTAGAAACCAGCTCGTCCAGCAGGTCAGGAAGCCGACTTACTTTCTCTGTTTTTTAACTCCTCCCCAGAACAAGTACAAATGCAGCATGTTGGTTTTGGTGTTAGTTCACCTATCTTTTCTTGATCACATCCTTTTCACTGTTATATAGTGTATTAATTAATTTGCTCTTAAGGTGCAAATCCTATGAGAAAGTCAGAATGAAACTGATGTTATTGGAGGCTCCTAATGTGCTTACTGTTTCATTGAAGAGATTTCATGTAATATTTTTTTACCAAAAGATATTTGTGCAAGTCTTATTATGTTACTGAATTTGATTGTATTACAGTGTGTTAAATTTGGGAAGCTGAACAAATCGGTTGAGTTCCCAGAGATTTTAGACATGGATCCATATGTTAGTGGGTCAAGTGATAAGTCGCCAGTTTACAGGCTTTATGGGGTGGTGGTTCATGTAGATACAATGAATGATGCCTTTTCTGGTCATTATGTTTGCTATGTTAAGAATCATCACAATCAATGGTTCAAATTTAACGACACCATGGTATGTATTCACCATTTTTTTCTAAAATACCACCTTTCATTTCTTATGCTTATGCTTATGCTTATATGAGTATATCATGTCAATGTAGGTGAACGAGGTGGATCTTCAACATGTATTAACAAAAGGCGCATACATGCTCTTTTATGCAAGGTATTTTTATCTTTTTTTTATTTTATTTTATGTTATTAGTCAAGCAATTTCATTTTTTTTGTTTGCTTTGTTTTTTAGATGCTCCCCACGGACACCACGATCAATACGCAGCTCAATAATCCAGCATCAAGATGCACGAAAACACAAAACATTTGTTCACTCCACTGAACCTTGGCAGGCTTGCAATTACCAGCCGACTTCTTATCTTGGTTACCGATACCGGAGTCTGGAGTAGGAATCTTCCTCCTCCAGTGACAACTCGGGGTTCTTCTCAGACTCATGTTCTTGCAGCACAGATAACAGCACCCAAAAGGACTCCAGTGATCACATTCCGGGTCACTGGGAACATGATTAAGCAGTTATTTATGTGTTACCTAGAGAGAGAGAGAGAGAGAGAGAGAGAGAGGAAAACATCAGTGCAATTATTTATGTGTTACCTAAAGAGCTATCATATCGATAGGGGCCAGTGAGGGTAAGATTATGTCCTGATGGAGAATCTGCATAATTCAGTTTGCAACAAAAACTCATCAGAATATTTTTTTAATTTGAGTCGAAAGAAAAAGACTTTTTTGTGAAGCTCACCAGCATTGGATCCTACCTTATTGCACTTTCCAATTCTAGGATTTTTTTTTTGTGGTTTTGATGCTTTCCTAGAAACAGGGGTTTGTTGAGAAGTCGTAGTAGTAGCTTAAGTGTATCTTCCTCAAGATGAGCTAGCCCAATATGGGCTATGTGATGACGATGTTTACTCAAAAAGAGTGACTGATAACTGGAGATAATTCATGAAAGGGAAGATTAATCGGACTAGGTTTTACTTCAACCAAGCCGAAGAAGGAGCTTCCAAGCTTGACAAAGATAGCCTATGGCCAGTATGTTCATATTTAAATTTCAAATCTTTATTACTCCATTATTTATCCCAAAAAAGTTAATAAAATTGTCTGTTTTTAATACACATGCATCTGTTATCTCAAATCTTACATTTATTTTTATTTATGTTAGTGTTTTTTCCAGCTTTCAGGTGTTGGTGTCAAGCTTGTTGGCAATACAGTGTGGAGTACCCTCTTTCATCAATTCTTGATAGTGATCTCACGTGAGAAGTCATTTTTCTTTTTGTTAAACAAGTATTTATTATCATGTATTAGGTCAAGTCATGGGTAAAAACAGCCATGCCCCTGGTTCCGGGGTTGTCACAAAATACTTGACTTTTTAACTTTGTTTTTGGTTTTATTTAGTAATAATCCTTCTGAGGGGTTGTTTGTTGGGCTGCTTCTTTCAATGTCATTAACAACAATGGTAAGTAAAATCTTACTACTGTGAAACTCTTTTGCTTAAACCTACCTTATTGACCTGTAGCTGATTAAACATTAAATTAATTATGCAGGTTTTGAAGTTTTTGATGGAAAAGAATAGTGTTAATGCTCTTTATAGAAAAGTTTGTTGGTATTTTAGGAAATTTGGCTAATAATTTAGTTAATTATATAAAAAAATGTTGAAATGTTACATTTGTCTAATATTGGAATGATTATTTGTATTATTACATTTATCTACTATTGGAATGATTATTTGTATAACATTAACTTTTGTTTAGTGCATTGTATTATTTGTAAATGGTATTTTATTTTCCATTATGTGACATGAAATGCAAATTTAATATGAAAATAAGTAAATCTATACATAATTTTTTTAAAAAAAATTTAAAATTACGATACGCAAAAATTGTGTCACCTTCATTTATGACATGGCCTTTCTTGACAGGGGCTTTCTTGATATGCATTGCGTGTCATTAACACGCGCATCGTAAGGTTACGATACGCGAATGCGTGTCGTCTTCCTTTATGACAGGGCCTTCCTTGATACGCATTGCGTGTCGTAAATGCGCGTCGTAATTGCACGTCGTATATGCGCGTCGTCTCTCTTTATGATAGGGCCTTCCTTGACGCACATTTGCACGTCGCTTGAGCCTTTTACGACGCGCAATGAGCGTCGTAAAAGGCTGTTTTTCTAGTAGTGCTCAAGTCAACCTTCTCAATAGAAGAAAACATTCTATGTTTGATAAAAAAAAATTTACTTTTTATAAAGCTCACTATAGCTCAGTTAAAAATTCCACATACCTAGAATTCACTTCACAAATACTATTACAAGTTAGAATAGAACTGTATGTAATATAAGGATTTACTCTTAGATCAAGATTAATTGTAGTATTTTATTTAAGTAAAATAAACAATTAAGAGTATACAACACGAAACCATGTTAACGTATATTTCATAAGTAAATTAACATACATTTACACTTAGGTCAAGAGGACACTTTTCATTGTGAGTTATAAAAGTAACATTTTTATATAATATGATAACTGTTCATTTTTATATAAAAATCCTTTTTTTAATAAGATAAACAAAATCAAAACCTCTAGTACTCACCAACAATTTTTGTTGACGTATTTTCAAACACGTGTATTCTCAGGAAATTAGAAGCTAAATTTCATGCCTCATGAGTCATGGAATAATCCATCTTTTCTTGTCTTTTGTTGTTAGTGAACGTGTTCAGGTCTTCTGTTAAATCATGCCTTGATAAGCGTGTTATGCAAACTTGTATTTTGAAGTTTAAATCAATGTAATCCTTGTATTCAAGTGTATGAAGACATGTAATGTTATTCAAGTCTTATATTGTTCAATGTATGTTTGTTAACTATGATCTAATTTTCGACTTCACAACCTCGATGATTTCGCCAACAATCGGGGTGTGATAAAATTTCAAGCTTTTGCAATTTTCAACTTGGAGAAAATGTTTCATATGAGCATTATTGTCATCAACATGCAATACCATGAAGACAACGACGCTCCCACTAGCTTTGACATATTCTCATAACCCATCTGGACTTCTAGAAAAACATCACTCTTTTACTTTCTCATGGAAGAATAGATTTCTGCTATGCGATGCTTGCCTAAATCTATGCATAGATTTATTAAGCTTACACACCTATTTTGGATAGCTTATATGTTTAAATCCTTTCAAGATATATATATATATATATATATATATATATATATATATATATATATATATATATATCATATATCTATTGAAATTTTCCTATTGAGGAAATCCGTTTAAACATCCACTCTACTATAACTCATTATCAAAGAAGACAACAATGGTAACAAATAGCCAAATAAAGCTTTCTCTTCCACTAGTGATAATGTTTCCTCATAATCAATTTATCAATTATGAGCGAAACTATTTTACACGAACTAGCTTTGAATGTGTATACATTCCTATCCATGTTAGTCTTCACATTGAAGATCTAATTGTAGTCCACCTTCATAAGACTAGTCTTTTGATTAACCAATTTCAAAATTAGTTATCCTTCATGGATTGAATTTCGCTATCCTTAGACTCTTATAATGTCATCTATAGGACACACTATTGCTTCCTAGTAGCTATTAGGCCTATCCAAATTAATCAATGTTTGATCCACTAATCAATGTATCTCCTTCCTCAGTTAGATGATACTCATAAAACTTGGGAGACGCTCTAACTCTACTATATCTTGTGAAGAAGTAAGACACTTTAACTGGTATTTTAACCTTAGGTTGAGAGCTAGTTCCAACTATAGGTTCGTTATCGGTAATATCTTGAATTTCTTCGAGATCAATATGACTCCCATTGAATCTTGATATGTATATATTATTTCCCTCAAGGAACAGTCTTTTTCAGCTACACACAACGAATATCAAAAGTCTTTAGTGAATACCTAACAATGTAACACTTCACAAGTCTAGATTCAATTTGGTAATTGGTTTCTCGTCTAATGAAAGACCTCACAACACTAGATCTAAACATGAAGTGTAACGACGTAAATTTTAAAACCAATTTTTTTTTAAACATCAAAAACATCGATTAATATTTCAAATTCAACGTAAACAATATTGTCACAACAAAATACATCCCAAAGATCATAAAATAGTTTTTCCCCGACAATGTGTACGATCATGCCGGCGCCTTCCCACGGTCCTCGCTAGTACCTGAAACACATAACACAACAACTGTAAGCATAAATGCTTAGTGAGTTCCCCACAATACAACCTACGCACATACGCCTTTCCAGGCCCTGACCTTCCGGTCCATGTGTCTCAGGGGACTTTCGTCCCGACTAGGTAAACCTTCCGGTCCTACCCACGTCAACCTTACGGTCCACATCACAACGCCTTCCGGCCCATAACATAATGTCTTCTGGCCCATATCAAGCATATCATACATGACACATATAACGATTAACTTATCACACATAGTACATATAACTCATAACATATCCGACCTTCCGGTCACACAGTCAAACCCTTCCGGGTACAGTATAGTGAGAAAACTCACCTCGTGGAAAGTCTAAGATCTTGCATCCTCGCTATCACCGAATCCCAACGACGACTCTACCTCGCCTAAACATAAGAATATCATTTAATACACAAAGACTTCCACCACTAAAACTTTACCCCTTATCATCATTCCTCAGAGGGTAAAAGACCATTTTACCATTCCTTGACCTAAAGTACTCATGTTGACCAAAACCCTAAAAGTCAACAAAAGTCAACCCTGAGAGTACGCGGGGCGTACTGCTAGATGTACGCGGGGCGTACCTCGCCAATCCCCTGGATCAGGGTCTCTACCCAGTACGCTGGTGTACTGGAAGTTACGCCCAGCGTAACCATCAGAATCAACCACTCTTCATTTTTGGTCTTAATCGGTTAAGCCATTACTCCAACTTCTATATCCGACTCTTTTAGTGTGTCTAAACCCATAAAGTCGAGACCTTTAAGCCTTGGCATGGATGTAAAGGCTCCAACATCACATAACAACATTCTATTCAAACTCAAGGACCTAGATCTCATGTATGGTGCAATATCCACGTCCAAGATGTCATTTTTATGAGTCTACAACTCCAATAGATCAGAAATATGAAGTATCTAAGATTATGGAGGCCATTTGCATAAAAAGTCTCCACCTTTGGGACTTAAACCCTAGAAAATGATACCTTAAGCATATAACATGAACCAAATGACAAGATCCGAACTTTTTACCTGATAATGAAGCTTTAACCCTTGCAAAGCTCAGATCTACACTTGAGCACCACTTCTAGCCTCTCCAATAAGCTCTTCTTTTCCTTTGCAACCATGGAATGGCACCACCAAGCTTCGAATGCACACACAAAGGCTTAAGAACGAAGGCACACACTATTTAGGGTTTCACTCTGAGGGATGGTGGCTGAGAAATCCAGCCACACATTCCTTTTATAGCCCTCCAAAGAGATTAGGGTTTTT